AAATTATCTGGTATTGGACTGAGTAGGATAACAAAGTAGGGCATAGTGTTCCTTTATTAATCACTTATAATAAAGGTTTAAATGCTGAATAAATAATTTTTTAAAGTGCCAGAGTGGCAACTGGCAGGGTACTAAAAAGGTAGGTTGTGCACATGCATCCTAAATAAATACTGCTACAAAAACCAGGTAGTTAAAAGTTAAAACCAATCACGAATTTCATTATTTCAAAGTAATATAAAACAAAACAAGTCGGGAAAAGGATTTTGAACCCAAGATATGAGACACAATTAATGCAGTATGAGAATGAGTTTGAATATAAAGAACAACAAAAAAGAGGATACAAAGCTACAAACTACTGTGATATTGTTGAAATTAGCAATATTATACATTTGCTGCTTATAACGGTAGTTTTTGACATAATTATTTATGCTTTTCCATCGAAATGGCAAGTTATAAAATTTGCCCGAAGCAACCCAAGCTTTGGCAAGCTAGAACTTAAAAAAATTAAAAGAAATAAAACTTTTGTGAATCTTACCTGAAAGCAAGAAATATAATAATCCTTTCGAGTGAATTGTTTCATCTACAAGCAGACTAAAAACTTAAAACTAACACACTTTTTTCTCGACTGCAAAAATATCAAAATGTTCAGTCGAAACTCGAAAATTATGATAAAATTTTTTGCAAAAACCAGGGGGGTGAAGGATTTTACTTCAAGCGTAGGATCGCGGTTGGCCAGTGGTAATTGCCATGAGCCGGAGGAACCAATTGGCGTCAGCAAACATGAAAATCCGCCATGTTTTTCCGGACACTCGTTTGACTGAAGGATAGATAGGAGCACGTCCTCCAGTAATATTATAGCTCAGTGGGTATACTCCATAAATGTACCGCAGGCGCTTACGTTTATACGTTTATTTTATATAGTTTATTATTTAACAAATATAAAACATTTTCCGTGTTGATATACAGTTATATCAACGAGTGGAAATTGGTAAAACGAGAAATTGTGTGGAAACACGACGGCCGCCCGAAGGGCGGAGTGTTTTCACAGAATTTCGAGTTTTCCCAACTTCCACGAGTGTTGATATAACTATATATCAATACGGAAAAAATGTTTTATATTTGTTTTATAATATAGCAACGTCAAAAGCCCGAAGAATAAGAAAAATTTCCGTGTTAACAAGCGGCGGAAAATTGTTAAATCCCCGCGTTAAATCCCCGCGTGGCGTTAAATCCCCGCTATTTTTCCCCGGCAAATTATATTTTCGTTAAATACCCGGTATCCCCGGGAAATTGTAGCGTTAAACCACGGCCCTGACCGCGTTAATTCCCCGCTATGCCGCGGGGGTCGGGGGGCCGTAGTTTCAATTGACTAGTGCATAAACAGTTCTTACTTCTTTACCACTTTCAAAAGCATAATAGATTTGGTGAACAAGATACAATAATTGATTTACTGTTGAATCACCTGGTCTAAATCCAGATTAAAATTTATGTAAAAAACCTATCTCCAGAAGGAAATTGTAATGTCTAATAAACATTACTTTTTCACAAAAGCGAGACAGACCTTGGCTCACCATCTGAGGCCTTATAGCTCAATGGTTAGAGCGTCTGTCCGGTTATCAGAAGGTTACGTGGTTCGATTCCCATTAGGGCTCAGGCCTTTTCTGAGTATAGGCTTGATACGCATCTACACCAAATCACATATTTCACAAGCAACCACAGCCACACACATATACAGGACGACATTCACAAGTTGCTTTAATTTGACAGTTAGGCTATCTTTTTTAAATAAAGGTATAACATTGGCCAATTTCCACGTAGAGGGATATTTCCCCAATGCAAAGGACAAATTTATGAATTTAGTAAAAAACTGATAGATCCATGCAGAACAGAACATAAGTCACATTCGTACGTCTTTGAGGTATCAACATTTTGCAATAAAGTGTAAATTTCGTTATCAGTTACCCAGACGTTGGAAAGAAATACGACATTCTGACAGAGAGGTAACTCTGGTAACTCTGGTGGCATGATGGAATGAGAACAAAATGTGCACTTCTAAATTCATTTATGCGGTTCTTAAAACTCAAATGTGCAGTCACCAAATTAACAAAAATATATCCTCAAAACAGTCATCTCATTTACTCGTTTTCCTTGTGGATGCTCCAGATGCCAGAAATGCTGTCATTGAGCATAAAAATCTAATACATTATATACACACGTATATACACAAAAAAACATTTATATAAAGAAAATCGACTTTAAATTAAGCAGTTGGCACCACACTAATTAAAGCAAATTATATGTGTGAAAGTCATTGCTTTGATTATAAACATCTTGCTATCTGAAATTCTTTTGACAAATATTTTCCCATCAGTTGTCCAGGGCGAGACCACATCTTTCTGATTAGTTTTCGTAAGGCCTTCGTCAACATAGAAGCTATAGATCCCAAATGAATCCATGTCAAGAACACCATCTCACACTAAATAATATTGGTGTTAATCATGAACGTTTGACTTTAGGCTCAATGTGTTATTTTGTGGTTTGAACAAACTTGATCCAACACGCTACAATGTTTACTGTGGTCAGTTGGAGTTAGCGTCGAAATCAGGACTTCTTGACATGGTCACAACAGATATCGACCAAGTGAGTTGTAGTTTGTATCTATATGCATTTTCTGTTGAAATATACCATCTACCTGAAATTTCCTTCTCAGGTGAAGCTGTGGTTAAATCAGTGGGATGATGTACAGAAGTCAAGAAAGATTTATCGCTTGCTTCATGATGCATTTCTCTCTAACGAACAAAGGTGTGGTATTTGCTATATAATCTTGAATGGTTAATTTGTGCCAGTGTAGGTAGTGGCAATAATAAGAAAGCTACGATGCGTCCGACCAAAGGACGTCAAATTTGTGAATTTGGCAATCTCAGTGGAACGTGCTTTGTTGAAAGTTTTCGTAGAAGACGCAGAGATAATTTTTTAGCTGTCGAATAGTGTTTTTCATTTAAAGTCAGCCACAGTTCTTCGTTCAAATATGAAATACATTCATCGACTTTAAAAAACATTCATCTTCACTCATTCATCCAAAAAAACATTCATCATTCATCCACTCTAAAAAACATTCATCATTAACTCATTCATCCACTCTAAAAACATTCATCATTAACTCATTCATCCACTCTAAAATACATTCATCATTAACTCATTCATCCACTCTAAAAAAACATTCATTCATCCACTTTAAAAACCATTCATCATTCACTCATTCATCCACTCTAAAAAACATTCATCATTCACTCATTCATCCACTTTAAAAAACATTCATCATTCACTCATATACATCCACTCCTATTCACTCATTCATCCACTCTAAACATTCACTCATTCATCCACTCTAAACATTCATTCACTCATTCATCCACTCTAAACTTACAAAGAACTTAATAAGAAAGCTGTTGATGGAGAGAGATACATCTGATTGATTAATTGTAGCAGCAGTAGATCCTGCAGTCTATTATATAGTGCATTATTTTTTATTCTACAGAGAGAGTGCGTCTGAAATGATGATAGAGTTATTAAGAACGTATCCTGAAGAGAGCGCTGGAGAAGCCAAAGATGATGCAACAAACTGTATTGTATCTTTCATTGATCGTCCCAATGTTTGGATTATGGATCATCTCTTAGAACTTGGTCCTGTCAGAAGTTTGAAAGAAGAATTAATATATCAGGTCAATCTTCTAGACAGCTTAATTTGTAGTTCTTATAAGCCATCCATTGGACTGTTTCACTCACCATGTCTGATCCATGATGTTTGTAGGGCGCATTGCAGCTTAAAGTGCATATGACATGAATATGATTATTTTCTTGAAAGAAAAAACTCTTTAAGCTGTAGTCTAAATTATTTTCATTTTCTTGATTTTATGGTTTGTTCCCGTGATATTTCAATGTGCTTGATATGTAAATGAGTGTGAATATGTCCGTTAATTTATGACGTCACTTTGGTTGCAAGCTCTTCGAAGTGGTTCAATATCACTGCTATCATCCAAGATGATAATTTCAAACTTCATTCACTGGTAAATGTGATGAAACACTGAAGAAAAACGTGAACTGATATCTACAGTTTTTAGAGTTACTAGATTTATAGCTAGTGTAAGTTGAGCTTGTAACCAAAGTGACGTCATAAATTAGCGGACATATTCACTCTCATTTACATATATATCAAACAAATTCAAATATCTCTGGAACAAACCACAAAAACAAGAAACTGAAAAATAAGTTACTTTATAGCTTAAAGAGTCCTTTCATTCAAGAAAATAATCAAATTCAATGTCATATGCACTTTAATGTCATAACTGCATGTTTGATTTTGATGTTTTAGATTCTTGAGATATTTGTCAGTGGTAGTATTAAAGATTACATAAAGTTTTATGAAGAAAATTCAAACTTTGTTGAATCTACAGGTGAAGCAATACGCTTTTTGTTGCTGCAATTAAATTCGAGTTTGAACGCAACACATATGCTTATATTATGTATTTCACTAATTAAACAAAAAAGTACACTGTGTCTTCTTGTTCAAACATGGTTGATTTCATCTAGGTCTGAATCATGAGAGAAATTTAAGAAAAATAAGAATTCTCACATTCATTTCATTGGTGAACAAACATGATGAAATAACATTTGAAGAATTATCAAAAGAATTAAATATTAATGTTGAAAATGTTGAAAGTTTCATTATTGATGGTAAGCTTATGTTAATGTCTGGCATTACACTCACAGTTTTGTATATTGATCGTGAAATTTATTTTCCAAGTGTTGAAAACGAGGCTTGCCCGTGTACGAATAGATGAAGTAGACGGACGAATCATCACAAGGTAATTATCAACATACAATATAATTATACACGCGCAAAAATCTTGTAGCAAGTCTGCCAACAAGCTGTCAACAAGTTGTGTTCGCACTGCTTGTTCCAAGTTGTCAACAAGTTTGGAACAAGCTGTTAACAACTTGGAACAACCTTGTTGATATTATCAGACTTGTTGTTACGATCATGATATGACAATATTGTTAGAACCTTGTGTCATCAACCTTGTAACATTGTTGTTATAGCATCATGACTGTATCAGACTTGTTAGAACAACCTTGTAACAAGCTCGATAGTGCCACAAGTTTGTTATAAGTAGTTAGCAGCTTGTTCCAAACTTGTTACAACAACTGGGAACAAGCAATGCGAACACAACTTGTCGACAGCTTGTGAACAGATTTGTAACAACTCGTTTGCAGACCTGTAACAACTTGTGCGTTTTTACGTATGTAGCATTCTAGATCAATTTATAGCATTGGTCCAATTTACATTTTAACTCATTTATCTTATTCAGCTCGGCAGCTTACAGAACGTTTGGCAATAAACAATGGCAAATACTTCAACAGAGACTTAAAGAATGGCAAACAAACTTACAAACTGTTCAAAAACAACTTATAGATATACAACCTAATATGTAATTTTGAACAAGTAATAAAGATTTGTTCTAGTACATTATTGTATGTTGCCTTTGTGTTGTCAGGTTCGTGACATTGCATAGTGTAAAGTTCGGGTTCCTGGTTGACCGTAAAAACTCAGACTGTAGTATAGAATCAAGTTTTCACAGACTCACTATTAGTAGTATTAGTTGCTTTTATCCTACCAGACGCCTCGGGCGGCGAGCTGAAAAACCCAGGAGCCGGTTGTACGAAGGCCGGATAAAGCTATCCATCGGATAGTGATTTTTTCAAGCTTTGTTAAATCAGTCGTTGATTGGTATAACTCGTATTAAAATTTAGTATTTATAAGTTAAATGTTTTTTTTTTATACGTCTTGTGTCGTCTATATCCGTAGTTTCACAGTTTTGAAGCATTTTACAAAGGTTGAAAAAATCACTATCCGGTGGATAGCGCTATTCGACCTTCGTACAACCGCCCCCAGAAGAATTCAAAACTACAGACTGTAGTCAGTTGAACCATTGTCAATCGATCTGATTGGACTAATTTCTAAGTCGTTTTAACTTTCAATTAGAATTTTCCAGGGCCGTAGGAAGATCGATAATTAATCTCATATTCATATATTTGTGTTCTGCATTACTCACTTCTTTTAAAATAGATTGTTTTAACGGTCTGTTAATTATCTCACATGGTGCTTAATAACAATGCTAGGGTTAGCATCAGCCATAATTCTGCGGACTAGGCATGCAGCATTACAGTACCTACTAGCTAGTATTGCCCGTTGCCGATCGGTAGGGATGGAGACGGTAGCACGGCGAAGCGAACGAGCTTGGCGAATGCGAACGAGCTTTTGGCGAAGCGATCATGCTAGGCTCCGGTAATGCGAACATCGTTCAAGCCGCTTCTTCCTGGTCATGTCTAACACCACCACATTTGGAACCTAAACGGTATCCTCTCCGTCCCTTGATCACACAGTCACACGTGAATCACAAGAAGCGAAACATGTGGAAGAGAGAAATAAACAAACACACATACGCACCCACACCAAACAAAAATGTAAAGTATGCTTACCCTGACGGTCGACTACCAGTACCTGAGATCTACACGCCCCAACGGCGCAAGGCTGATCACGAACTCATGTCCTAACAAAAAGACTGAAACCACAAGACACACAAAAAAAAATCACAAAAAACCCCAACCACCACCCCTCAAAAAAACCCCCAACCAACAACAAAAACCCGACTGTCAGGAGGTGGTTGCTAGGGGAGGGAGGTGGGCGAAGCGAACGACCAGTTATCAACTGGCCGGCAAAGGCAAGGCTATTTATAGTATTAGGGGGGTAACAATACCCGGAGGTCAAACCCCGGCAAGTAACTATGCTGCGAGCATCTCCTCGACATTAACTTCCTTTATTATAACTAATAAATACATTAAACATGAATATATGAATATCATTGAGCTCCCCCCAATTATCGATCTTCCTACGGCCCTGTTTTAATGTACAATTTATACAGTCTTAATATGCTCTTACGATTACAATGCATTCTAAACTCTCAGTGCATGATGATGAAGTTTGAGTGATTACAACAAAAAGTGTGATTTATGAAATCCGTGGCGTGGGTCTTGGGGGGTCATTCATGAACAGGGTATGTTCCAGGGTATGTTCCTACAGTACCGTAGGTATTTTGCCTTGTTAGGGACTGGTCATAAAGTATTTACTAGGGGGTGTGGAGGATATTCTGGGGGTACGTAAAAAACCCAGAACCTTTGAGGGGGGTACGAAAAAAAACAGAACCTCTAGGGGGGGTACCACAATCTTAGTACTACGTACGGAAAAAATTACATTTCATAATTATTGTTGAATATTAAATGTACTTTGGCCCAGATTTAAGTCTGGAAAGAATACTTTAACTACAGGGTGTATAAAAAAAAACTGAACAGATTTGAAATTGCTCTCAATTTCGCAAAACACCTATTTGTATCCGGTTTTTTATATATATAGCTTCTTTGTGTACTTATAATGTAAAATAATGAAAAAAATTTCTCGAACTCAAATTTTGTGAACCAGGGGGGTGTGTCTTTTCCAACAAACTAAAAATGGCTCGCGCACAAAATTTAAAAGCTGTAATCATATTTTGAGTTAATAGATGGAATATTTGTCGGGTTTTTAATTACTGTACAAAATTTCAGACAATTTGGGTTAGTTTAAGCCCTTTAACTATTCATTTTGTTCTAAAAAATCAGCCTTTCGCATGCTTAATTAATGCCTTTACCTAATTTGCATATTGCTGACATATGCAAATTAGGCAAATGCATTAATTAAGCATGCAAATAGCTGATTTTTAGGAAAAATGTAACTTTGCGTGAATAGTTAAGGGGTTTAAACTAAACCAAATTGTCTGAAATTTTGTACAGTAATTAAAAACCCGACAAATTTTCCATCTATTAACTCAAAATATGATTCCAGCTTTTAAATTTTGTGCGCGAGCCATTTTTAGTTTGTTGGAAAAGACACCCCCCCCCCCTGGTTCACAAAATTTGGGTTCGAGAAATTTTTTTCATTATTCTGCATTATAAGTACCCAACGAACCTATATATATATATATATATATATATATAAAAACGGATACAAATAGGTGTTTTGCGAAATTGAGAGCAATTTCAAATCTGTTCAGTTTTTTTTTTATACACCCTGTATACTTATTATTAAATCAACACAAAGTATAAATGTTTCAGTCTGACTCAATGTCAGATGATAAGAAGGATTCAGTATATCGGTGGAACTACAATCCTGGACAAAACATCTGCGTCACTTCCAATTATTTGACAAAATTTCGTAATATTATCGCAAATTTAGAAAACCTCCCCCTTACCCACACCATTCAATGTTGATTGCATTCGCAGAATACGGTTAAAACGTCCAACATTGTTTGGAGGGGCGATTGGGGCGAACTGGTAAATTATTCCTGTCTAATGGTAAAAAAAGCCACGTTTTAATAAAGTGTCGTTTTAATAGAGGGACGTTTAATAAAAGGAACGTTTTAATATTATAGAGTGTCGCAGATGGTTTTGTCCAGAATTGTAAATGCAGTCGAACCTGTATTGAGCTGACACCTTCGGCTTTGGAGATTTCGCAAATGACTGGTTAAGCCTGGTTCACACTGCCAGCCATTTTTCTCCTGGCAAATTTGATAGAATGAATGGTATGCCAAATAATTGATTACTTCTGAAAAGCGACACTATGGCCTGTATTCTAAAAGCTCACGCACATTCATACTCAAAGAGGTTCAATCTGAGCTAGCTTCCCTTGAGTGTCAATGCTGTTTTTCAATAGCTGGAGAGTGAGTAGTCACATGGAAGGTGCGACACTAACTATTTATTTATTTATTTATTTATTCAACTTCGCCAGGTAAAATTACACGAATGACATGCATACAATACAAATACAAAATTATACAAGTGACGAATGGCGGGGACACCACAACAGTTAAAACCAATTACTGTGGGCCCTTTTAACATATAGGTTACATACAGATATCTAAAAACAAGAATTGATAACATTGGTCAAACTTCGACAAGAGTTACAATTTAAACATATAGATCTCTATGTTCTTGGGTCCTCTGAACACTCAAGGGAAGCTCAGATTGAACCTCCACTCTTCGAGTGTGAGTGCGAGTGAGCTTTTAGAATACAGGCATATATACTTTTGTGTGCGAGTTCACTCATTTGGGCCATTTGCATCCGTCAGAGACACAAATCTGCTGAAAAAATTGCTAGTGTGAACCAGGCTTTAATACACCGCTGGTCCGCTGTTAAAAAAGGTGTTATTGATTCTTAACAAGAGCAAGAGAACTGTGCTAGAGCCGTTCTAATTATATAAGTTTAACTGTTTCGGCGTGCTAAGTTTGGTTCGATTCAGCAAATCAATCATCTTTGACATGGCTAGCAAAAGCTATTGCTAGCAGATTTTCGCAACGCATCATCGGATTCCATCGTTTCTCTTACCGATGACCGTTTAATACAGTCACAAAACAACGAAAAATCATGTTTGGGATCGTGCGAAAGGTGACCGATACTAGCACGAGTGGTCTTTCAGTAAATTTTAGAAATAACAAAGTTATCTCATCAGTGCCGAAAAACAAGTTCGGAAAACACCCCGCTGAAAAACATCAGCAAATTTTTGTGGGATTTGAAAAGAAAACAGAATAATATGGACTGCATGTGCATCAATCTTACCTTTTTGTTTAGTTTTTGGCTTTTAGGTATAGATTTTTTGTTTTAACAATCAGCATTTTCGTGCAAAAATTGAAAAACATCGACGCAAATCAGCTCTTGCGAAGTCCACGCGAAAAACACGCGTTCTTGGCCTCATCCAGTCATAGGACAGTTCACCTGCAGTTTTCGTTCCAGTTATGATAGAGTCTACTGATTAATACAGGTTCAACTGTAATTGCAGAAAGGTTTTGTGGATGGAAATTTAGTATATAAATTTTATATACATGTGTATAATATATTCACATTCGAAATTTCTATCTACAAAACCTTAGTTTATCACAGAATAAAGACACACTGAAGGTCGACTCAGCCAAAAAAGCCTAACCGCTGCCACGCCATGACTCGTCATCAAAATGCTGACGCCGTGGTCCTAGCCAATGCGCTTATGATAGGCATTTCCCCCCCCTGGACATCCGCAATTTTGAATATTATCAGGGGGGTGAATTCCTCTCATAAGCGCACTGGCTAGGACCATGGCGTCAGCATTTTGATGACGAATTGCGGTTACCCCTAAATCATAGGAAAAACCAAGAAGTCGGGCTTCTGTATAGTCTCTATTCTGTGGTTATATCGGGTGAGTTATGTATCGGGTGACATGCCCTTAGAGCTCGACAACTGGACTCTGTAGCTCAGTTGATTAGAGCGCTGCACCGAAATCACCGCTCCGACCGGATACGTATTTAGATGACCGAAGGTTTAGAAAGAGCGTTTTTCCAGTTTACGAAAAGAATGCAGTATCAAACAGAGTAGAAAAATACTCAATAGGCAACAGGAAATGGTGCTGGAACGCTTTTTACCTGTTCTTTTATTGCCAAAATAATGCATGTATATTTAGACCTAAGAGAGATAAAGAATCAATAAGGCCCCGTTTACACATAAGACCGGAGGAAGTCAAACTGGAATGAAAATTGAAATTGTCAACATGTTTACATGAGACCGGTACGAAAATCACAAAGTTTTCAATTTATTCCCCTTGCCAGGCAATTTCTTTTTCAGATGGCTTTTCGGTTAGCATTTGTTGTTCCATTGTCAAGGTTACTGCTGAGATCGGTCTGAAATGTATTTGTGTTTACATTCATCCCAGTCTGAAATTCACTGATGCCGGTCTGAAGTCAGTCGGCTTGGACAGCTGGCGGAATGACTTGAGACCGGTCTGAGTTATTTTCGTCTCGTGGTCTCATATAAACATCTATTCTAAATAATCCTAAGACCGAAACGAAATGGTCTCGGTTTGACTTCGCTCCGGTCTCATGTAAATGTGGCCTTAGTTATTAAACGATATTGGAGTTTCACTCTGAGAGTTCAATGTCGCAAGTTGAAGGAAATGGAGGCTTCTTTTTGCACGGTTCTTTTATTGCCAAAATAATTACATTAACGAGTTTTATTCATTAAATTCAATTGTTTTGCGAATATTGTTTATTTTTACTCCGTCGCTTTATAACAAAACACTCACTTATAATTCTTTTTCCTCGGGATATAATTTATTTTGTTTTTCCTCGAATCTCAACGTTTTCCACAACTTCCTGTCGGGAAACAATCAAAATCTCGAGAAAACAAAACTATTTCTCGCGGGGCAGACATTATATAGAGTGTATAATGTTCTTCAAAAATATGAGGCTTGCGATGTTGCAGTATTCTATAAATAAGATCTTTTTTCATATAATTTCTATTTACAACTCATTGGCAATTGTTGATACAGTATACTAGCCATTCGTCAGGCAGATCGGGAAATTGATTTGCATATGGTAGAAATTATGGGAATGATGGATAAATCTGATGCTGATACAAAGTATGTATGTTTAAATTTTCCCAGTGTGTGTGCGCTGTAAATTTATAATAATTTTAAATTTTTGGTATGAGAAATTTCCGGTATTGATATATCGGAAAATATACCTTGGGACTTGATAATTAATTAGAGAGGAAAGATAACTGTGGATCGCGAAAGAGACAACTACTTGAAATATTATAAGCAGAACTTCCAATTTTCGAGAGAAGGCCCTTCGTCGAGAAATTATAGACCTTACGATTTTAGGACGGCAACGCGACGACGACAGCCAAAACAAACTTCAAATAAATGGTAGCAAAGGTAATTCGTCGTATATTAAGTTGAAGACATGGGTTTTATGGTTGGAAAGAGTTATACTGAAACCAGTTTGAAGTTGCACTTGTTGCGGCTTGAAATGCAGCCGTTGTCTCAAGAGGTGAAAATCTGTGATTTGGCGTTGTAAACAGAGCGACGACAATGTCTAAAATAGTTATTCATATGTTGTAATTATTCAATTCTTTTCCATGATCTATTGTATTGGAAGCGGTTGCCGTCGCGTTGCCGTTTAATAAAAATTGCGATTTATTGAAAACCTGAGTCACACCGATAACTAAGACCCTTACGACAAAGTCGCAAAGATAGAATTACTGCGATTTTTGCGATAGCGATGTCTGCGTTCCGCGACTATTGCGATGATTACGATTTAATGGCAACCAGGCTTAATAGTGGAAGGAAATGTCTGAAGTTCTGCGTCTCTACGTACACCAACACAGACCATGCGCGAGTTTAATGGAAATTTGAGGAGATTTCGATTCCGAAGGAATGTTCATGCAGCACGTGAGCATGGACGTACAATGGACTCAGCACGAAATTTCAACTTATTTGCATTGTAGTAGCACGCAATCGTTTAGGGAGCATTCATTTTTTAGCTGGGGGGGTGGGCCGGAGGAATTTGGGGGTGGGTCAGAAAATTTTGACATGCTTCAAAGGGGTGGGTCTTTTTATAGTTTTGGTATAAATGGAGGGGGTCATATAAATAATCAGTGAAAAAGTCACCAATATAATTTTATAGAATTTGGAAATATTTGGATGAAGAATGGTAAAAAGATCTAGAAACTATCAACTATCTCGTCATCTATAACAAAGAAGCAAAATTCATTTGACGCTCTGTTCACAGTCCACAGGAAAACATTTCCATGACTTTCGTCAATTGACCACGTTTTTATCCGCTTTTGTGTGAAAACATGAATGAAAGAAAACGCAGGACCGTAGCATGATTTCAAAATCATGCATGGTTTCAAGGTCTGCATGCATTTCATCATGACCTTTATCAATTTTAAGCTATATTAATTTTAAGCGGCTGCATTATCCATGACAAACTGCAAAGAATGAAGATAGTACCCACAGTTTCCTGCAACTTATCCTAGTTATCCAATATATAGTTAATTAAATACGCGTTCACCCATTTAGTACTACCAAATTGTCAATTTCGACATACTAAAACGCTGTTTTCTGACCATCAGAATTCTGTCAAATCTTCCCCAAAGTCCAGGAAATGGCATTTCAGAGACTCTAGATTTAAAAATTTCCTCGGGCCTTCGGCCCTCGCTTTCAGCCCTCCCAATCAAAAAGAGCTTCCTATGGCCATGAAATGCTACGGAAACGACACCGTGTGGATTATTAATAGTTAGGATGAGGGGTCAAAAAATTTTTCAGTAAAAAAAATAGGAGGTCATAATTTTTTATCAACTTTTCTCTTGGGGGTTCCAAGTTTTAGCATGGAATTAGACATCAGTTCCTCCGGCCCACCCCCCCCAGCTAAAAAATGAATGCTCCCTTATTTGTGCATGTTGGAGATTTCGGTATACCGAAAAATTCAGGTACTGTATATATCGCGGGAAATTTCAATCTAACGGTACGACTGAAATCTCATACCTAACCAATATACCAATATTGAGCCTAAGAAGTTTCGGTCCTGAAAAAATGGGGTAGGTTGGTTGGAAAATGTTTTTTTGCTTCACATTTTGGTCAACGACGGTCATTAGTGTAATTAATTTGTTACAAGGTATAACGGCTGTACACAGGCTAGGTATATATCAAAATTTTCAATTTCCATCTACATTTTAACTTTCGGTAATAGGGACCTTAAGCATGTACGACGGCAACGCGACGACGACAGCCAAAACAAACTTCTTCAAATAAATTATTGCGAAGAAGAGTTGTTGTGTATTATCCACGACATGTATATATAAATTGAGTTCAGTTTGAAGAGATTAAAACAAAGGCTTTATTGTTAAAAACGCTTCTGCTGAGCAAATTTGTAGTTTCACTTGTCGCGTCTTGACATATTTGCGTTGTACAAGAGACGTGAAAATCTCTGGTTTGCCGTTGTAAAAAGCCCTAACACAACGTCTCTAACTCCCGTGGGGCTTATAATTATTCATTTCTTTTGTATGAGATCAGGAATATCATTGTGTGAATAGTCGTCGCCGTCGTGTTGCAGTCCTGTTTGCTTAACTAGGTCCCTATAATGATAGCCGAAGGTATCAAGTTAAGGCCGAGACACACCGGACGCGATTCAACAACGCGGCGCGGTTTTTCGTGATTTTCACTGACCGATAACTTTGAAGCGCTATAATATTTTGAGTTATTTGGCCTACATATACTTTTAAAATTTTCTTTCATTGATTGTTTTATTAACGGTGGATGATTTTTCAAAATGGCGGAAGGTCATGGATTTTTTAACTCGTTCAATAATACAAATTTCAGACCAGAGAACGTCGATATGAATGCAATAAAGCTATTAAATAATGAAACTAACTTAACTTACGCTGGTAATCGTATAAAGTGGACAGGTGACCTTAATTCATTAAAGAATTGTGTCGAAAATGTTATTGGTTTGACCGGGACTTGAAAATCACCTGGTGGAAATGCTAAGCAGTTTAAAAGTTCAACGTTTGATTTTACCTTGACCTGGTACCCGAGAAAGCAGAACTCGATATTGCTTCATGGAAAGGATGGTGAGCTATTCAAACAAATTTTGGTAACAGTTTTAGATACAGATCATATAGTAAGACAAGCAGATGCTATCTTAGACAGTTTATCAGTGAACATAGCGGAGCCGCAAGGTACCAACTATAATACAAGCACTCCCGAACTATTACAAACATCAGCTAAAGATTGTGCTTCTCAGACTATAATTCATGAAACCCCTCAATGTAAAAACTGTGGAAATTTGAGGGCAGAAATGTCTGAACTTTCTGAGAGACTGAATTGCTTATTCGATCTAACGCATAAAATTTACAACCTACCAAATAAATCGCTAACTACTGACCCACTTCCAAACTCAGGGCAAAGTTTGATAAACAAAAAAGACACTAACTCTGGGTATTGCGATCTTTCTGCTGACCTTGAGGGCGTTAAGTTAGATGTTGTAATAATCGAATCTACATTCTCGAACAGCATTTCGCGGCAAATCAAAATGAGATTGGTAAAATAAATAAAGAGATTAATCACTTTCGTGAACAATTGTTTATTATGCAAAAGGAGCAGCAAAAGACTTCTTAAATCATGATGCAGTAATTAATGAATTATCTTCTCACGCTTAAGTCTCGTGTTCTTCACAAGACATTGCACTTGAGTATAATTATCAATCTGGTAATGCGTCAAATTATGATGCCGGTAATGAGGAAAACGAAAGCGGTATTTCTATGGTAGCTAATTAGAATCCAGTCAAGAGGAAAATGCAAATTTAAACGCCTCAATGCAGTCGAATAAACTGAGTTCTGAGAGAGAGATTTCTATAGTTTTGAGTAATGATGGTCAAAATCTCGGCTCTGATGCTCTTACTCAGCTTGTAAAGCCAAATGAGATCACATCGCAAATTGCAACCCGAGAGCAATGTTTAAATGATGCGAAATTGAACACTATTAGTATGGGCGAGAATAATTCCGTTCCTGAGAGCCCAGCACAAATCCAATTACATATTCCAAATATTTCGAATAAAGCTCGTTACGCAAATAAGAGAAAGGATTGTATTGGCAACACACTATATTCATTAACACAGACAAAGTCCTCCGATAGCACACATATAGCCAATTAAATGATAAGCGAAATGGATATACAGTACAGTGAGTACACGACAACGCTTATATCAGAATAATAACGCAAACCAGTCCAATTATAATAATAATCAGCAACAACCCATTCCCACCCGTATTACTACAAGGAAACGAGTAAAAAACGTGGGTAGAAAATCCAATTCAAAACGAAATAAGTGCAAAAATATTTGTACTGATTATTGTAAGAGTAATATTTCAAAACCCTACGAACAGTCGAAAATTCGAAACGGGAATAATGGAAGAAATAACGAGGATTTTCGTACGGAATCATGGGGAAGAGACAAAATAGGGTGGTTCCAATTTTATTATTAGAGAATCATGCAATGAGTGCTGAAAAAGATGCAAATAGTCCCTCGAGAGATACTAAGAATACGGAACGAACTCGATCTGTAAATTTTAATAATTTAATTTATGTCAATTGTACAAGCGGGGAACAAAAGACTTATTGTGAATCATCAATTGCCTATTCATTTCCATCTATACTCTTAACCAACGCATGTCATGTAACGAACAAAATAACTGAACTCTCTGAATTGCTGCAGTCAATAACCCCTCCTTGGTCATAATTACAGAGTCTTGGCTGAATTCAAACATCCCGGATGCTGCTGTGGAAATAAGCAATAAATTCAATGCACATCGCCGTGATCGTCCCACGCATGGTGGTGGTGGTGTCTTAGCCTACGTGAATAACAAAATACCAACTACCCGCCTAAGAAATCTTGAAGAGGATGGAAAAGAAGTTCTATGGCTCTTACTTAAACCGCCCAGAACCCCCAGGCCCTATAGTGCGATAATAGTTATTGATGTGTACTACCCTCCTGGACAGACAACTGAAGATGAAAGAGCAATGTACGAGTATGTTACTAACGGACTTGACAATTGTAAATTTCGACATACTAAAACGTTGTTTTCTGACCATCAGAATTCTGTCAAATCTTCCCCAAAGTCCAGGAAATGGCATTTCAGAGACTCTAGACTTAAAAATTTCCTCGGGCCTTCGGCCCTCACTTTCAGCCCCCCAATAAAAAGAGCTCCCTACGGCCCTGAAACGCTACGGAAACGACACCGTGCGGATTATTAATAGTTTGGATGAGGGGTCAAAAAAATTTTCAGTAAAAAATAGGGGGTCATAATTTTGTATCAACTTTTCTCTCGGGGGTTCCAAGTTTTAGCATGGAATTAGACATCAGTTCCTCCGGCCCATCCCCCCAGCTAAAAAATGATGGACTCCAATGTTGGACGAAACCAAATTAAAGTTTTAAATATCTTGCATGCATAAAATGCACTTTTATTCTGTTTTACGCACCCGTGAGTCGCATAGTGCTATGCATTCAAATTCCAACAGTAGCTTGATTTCTAAAACCTGGTTTCCATATGGTCGTAATGTCCTAAAAATAGAGGCACGATCTTTCTGAACGGCCAGTTTATAATAGTTTATAATACCTGTAAACCACATATAAATTATAAGTATTCTCTAGTTATAATCACTCTGCGTATTTTCAGTCCTAAAACCCAGCGGGCAAAATGACGTTTATCCAACGTTGAATCAACGTTGGAAATGACCGTCCAGACGTTGTATAGACGTTGAGAAAGGGTTGACTATGCAAATTGGATCGACGTTACTGTTTCGACGTTGAAACAACGTTGAAATTAGGTTGCCAATCTCGTCAACCATAATTGAATCCACGTTAAAACAACGTTGAGACTGGTTCACAAATTGACGTCGTACATTTAACCATGAATGAACGTTAATTCGACGTCTGTTGGCTGCTGTTGAACCAATGTTTGTAAAACAACGTCAGAGCAACGTAGATTAGGTTGTCGACGTCGCAACCTTTTTTCTACCAAATTTCAACGTTGAAACAACGTCGTGTGCCCGGTGGGAATGTTGTATTTCGCCTGATGAAAAAGATCGTGACTTTAAGCGTTGTTTCCATATTGTCGTAACGGTCGTTAAGATTGCAAGATTGAGTGACAATCTTTCTCATCAGCCGAAATACAACATTTTAGAACTGAAAATACCCGGAGTGGTTATAACTAGAAAATAGTTATGATTTATATGTGGTTTACAGGTATAAACTATTATAAACTGGCCGTTGAGAAAGATCGTGACTCTATTTTTACGACCGTTACGACCATATCACATATGGAAACCAGGCTTAAAATTCTCGTCTTTTTATACACCCGGTATAATATAAATAAATTTAAGTTCTTTGTATGTTTGCATGGCGATAAAACATATAATAGTTTTGTTTGTGG